GAAAAAAATGTCATTAACTTAATAAGCAGATAGTATTATTGATGAAACAGACCCAACCCACATACAGCCAAGGAATCAGATTGTTCACAAGTGAAAAGAACAGGACCCAGGGAGGATAAATCCATACTCCCAACACAATAGCCAGGACTTCAGCATATGTTCCAGCATATCAGTCACAGCTCTTCGAAGCCACTTAGTAGAGTACTAAGGCTGCCTAATTGCAAAGCCTGTGGCTCATCCCTTGGCCTGCTCCTTTCCCGGATCATCCCTTGGCCTGCCTCTTTCATTCTCCTTTAGAAGACTCCCTTCTATGGCTGCAGCTCATCCCACCCCTCACAATGCTTCAAATTGGTTTGCAAATGGCACAGAGATCCTGGCTCAGACCTGGGGGACGTTTATTTCTACGTGCTTATGGATGTGATCACAATAAAATCCCCTCTTAGGCCAAAAAACCAGAAGCTGCCATTCACAGCTGAATAAAAACTATGCATCTGAAAGTGTCCGTTAGCTGGAGAGAAGCTTCCTCATTCAACTCCAGGAAAACTACTAACTAGTATATTTTGCTTCTCAGCTTGGTGTGTTTAACCATGGAACTCTTATGTCTAGCCCAGTGTTCATCACTACAGCATTCTTCCACTAGGGCACTGCTACATACTAGTCCAGGGTTGGGCAATAATTTTTGATGGAGGGGCCGCTTCAAAATTTTGGAAAGTGGTCGAGGGCTGCACTCTTCAATGATATTAATGGAGGAGATGCGGGGTCTGGGATGGAGGTTGAATGCAGAGGGGAACTTGGGGTAAGGGACTGGGGTGCAGGAGGGAGACTAGAGTCTGGGAGGGAGTTGGGATGAAGCAGGCAGTTGCGACCTAGGGCAGGGGACTGGACCTCGGATAAGAGGGGATTATGATCTGGGGTAGGAGATTGGGGTGCCAGATCTGAGAGGGGGTATGGGTGCAAGAAGGGGACAGAAGGTTTGGGTATGTTGAGTGGAGGGGGGCAGAGAGGAGCTGGGGTACCAGAGGCAGGCCGTGGCCAGGAGATTTACCAGCCAGCAGCCAAACCAGCCTGCCTACCTGCAGAGCTAAGGGTTACAGAGCTTAAAATGTTTCCCAGACAGCCAGCCTGCCTGCCTGCTTGTCTGACCACGTGCTTCAGTGAATAATTGAGCTGAAGAGAGGAGGCGTGGTTCTTCTTGGCTGCCTGTTATTCAAATAAACAGCTCCCATTGGCTGGTTTCTGGCCAGAAACCGGCCAAGGGGATTGTGCTGGGGGTAGCGCCGGAAGCCGCCCTCCTCCCCTCCCATTTTGAAACAGAAATGGAGCCCAGCACCTGTGTTTCTTCATGGCACACAGGGCTGCAGGGGAGTCCGCCTGTGGCTCCCCACTGCCTCCACGGGCCATATCTGGTGGTTTGGATCTGGCCCGTGGGCCGTATTTTGCCCAGGTCTGTACTAGACAGTATTCATTTACTACACAAAAATGTCTTCCTTGCAGTTCACATTTGGCATATAAAATTCCATTCTTACAAACCCTCATATACCACTGTTTCAGATGTAAGAGAAATAATGGAAGGCAAGACAAACCTACCCCTGCATTGTTTGTAACCCAAATCCTAGAGCTGTGTATTAAAGTGCTGAAAGCAGATAATAAAACAGACTCGGAGGTACAAGTGTGATTTACTAATCCATTTTCATTTGTAGACTGAGAGAAGTGTAAAAAGATCAAAGCCACACACTTCAAAGAGTGAAAAGTAAAGTACAGGCAGTCCCCGGGTTACGTACAAGATAGGGACTGTAGGTTTGTTCTTAAGTTGAATTTGTATGCAAGTCGGAACTGGTACATATTGTAGGGGAAACTCTAGCCAAACATTTCTCCAGAGCTCAGTTTTATTCTCCCACACCTCACTTCCCTCAGTCCTTTATTCTCAAGCTGAGGTGTCTGCTGAGAAAAACTGCTCCGCGGACACGCTAGCTTCACGTCTCCCTGGTCTGCTGGGGGGAAGCAGCTAGTGCGGGGTTGCCTCACCCCGTTTGTAAGTAGGGATCCGATGTAAGTCGGATCCATGTAACCCGGGGACTGCCTGTAGACTTGGAAAGCCATTTGAGTGTTCATCTAACGATATTATTGAGAACAGAGTATATTGGACCTGACCCTCAGCTGCTCTAAATCTGTACAGATTCCTTGACTTATGCAGCTGCATCATTGCTTTAATTTTCCTTAAACATTCAGAACATTGACACCACTAAAATCTATCTCTAATAAAATAATGGCATAAAACCGTTCAAGCGGCTTCTTCAAGTTCTTTTAAGCCTGTGTGTTGGCTCTGGGAAATTCTTTGTTTATAAATTGCCTTCAGAGGGACAACTTCTTCCCTCAAACCCACCAGTGCCCCCCATTGGGTTTCACCCAGTGTAACTATGAGGAAAATGTAGTCTCTGCACACCTGGTCATTGTAACTGCTTGCATTTCATGAGCAGACTTTCTACAGTTACAGCTCTATAAAGCAATATCTTAAATAACCAATATATGTTTCCACATATGTATCCTGATTTTTTTTTTAAATGAATATAAGACTAATGTTCTCCCTAATCTTTTCCATCCATGTGCAGATTTTTTCCATCCATGTGTGGAATAATTTTTTATGTGCATACCTCTAGTAGAAGCAAAAACCTAGCTGTGGGTGCCCTGCTAATCTGCTGCATGGTATTGGAATCTTTCCTGGGTGGCCACACAAGCACCAGGCTTATAGGGAACACTCTAGAAGCCTATGAAATCCTCACCAAACCTTAAAGTTCAGTGAAGAGTAGTACTCCTGTATACTTAAAGAAGTACCAACAAATACTAACATGAAGGCAGAATATGCACTCACTATCTTTAGGATAGACACATCATAGAATGCCAGAGGCTAAATCGTTATTGTGAATGAGCATAGGCTTATAGTCATGCTACACTAGCACTGCAATGGTATGAGCTTGCCTACGAGGGCCACTGTTTTTTTTTTTTAAGTGCTGCAAAGTAAATATTGACATCGGGTCACTGCTTTTAAGATTGTGATGTCAGTAGTGTATGCCAGCCCTGGTTAAATAATTAAATGACTTCTATCATTGACTATATGCCTGCTCCCATTTAAAAATCAATGGTTTAGAATCATGATATAAATCTCCAAAAAAACAGAGTGTGAGCAGAGAAGAAATTACCATTTATAAAGCTATCATGTATGAAATGCATGTCAACGTGCTGATTAGTCTCCAATACACATTTATGACACAAACTTTGTTTTGTATTTTTTCTTCAGCTCATAAGTTACATTTAAAAGCAACTAAGAACACATTAAATAGAGTGATCATCTACACTTTTCAGAAAAAAATGTTTATTAATGGCCTTTTTCTAATTTTTTCAAAATATTGTTTATACGGTAAGAAAAATAGAACTATTTATTTTTCCATCCCCCTATATCAGTGGCTAGGAGGGGAAAGGGGTAACAAAAAGAGCAAAAACTGGTTTAAGAATGGGAGAAAAAATATTAAGGAAAGAATTTAAAAAAAAAGACGTGTTCAAAGCCAAAACTTTGTTGTGAAAAGCTTCAGGGGAAAAACTGTCCTTTACAAAACCCACTGAATGAAAGTTAATTTTAAAGTTTCCACATTTTCCATGAAATATACTCCATGGTTTGATCAGCTCTACATCAGTATTTATCCAGAATTAATATTCCAAATAAGCAAGTGCTTTATATGATCACAAATGGGGGCTAGGGATACAGGAAAGAAAGGGTTGTGGTCTATGTAATAATGAATGAGGGAGAGAGATTAGCCACAAAACACTCTCTCTTTTAAGAGACAATACATGCTATGAAAAAATTTTAAGCACCTCTGCCTTATGTTGTATCTTGGGTCTAGTGATGTGTGTTCTCTCATGGCCCGTGCCATAATAGATCAGGAATCTCTAATATGACTACAGCTTGAACATATAACTTTGTAATCATGGCCTATGTTGTATCCTGAAAAGCAATAGGAAACAAAATCTCAAAGTCTAAAAAGTGGGATCCTTCATTAGGTTACCCCCAATGTGCAGTCATTTGGGGACTCTCCCCTAAAACTCTTTTTTAGGTCAGGAGCCCTACGAACAATACCATGAAATTTCAGATTTAAATAGCTGAAATCATGACATTTACAGTTTTAAAAATCATGTGACCATGAAACTGGCCAAAATGGACCATAAATTTGGTATTACCCTTCAGTGGCCTATGTGGAATGATTGATTTTCTCAGGTTGTTACACTACAGCAGGCAGTAATTGACAGTTTCAGAAGAGAGATCAAGGGCCATCTATAAAGAATGACTAGATTACCCTACCCTAAAGAACTTGTTCCTGCTATCGAGCCTGATGTACATTGCAGCAGCCTGTATTGTACTTGTTCTGTGAGTAAAGTAATGATCTCCTCCCTATTAAATGCTACAATCAGCAGAGATTCTTGTTTGAGAAGCCCCCTGGATTTAAACTGAAAGCAGCTGCTAGCAGGGTTTTTTTATCAGTGACCTTTCACTAGGAATGGATTCCCTCACTGATCTGACAAAGCCCAAATGTGTTAATCTTTTAAACTAAGTAAGTTAGTAGGTTTGTATTTAGAGTGGTCAGGTTGGATCGGTGGATTTTGTCATCATCATGGTATAGTTCACATAGTGTTATTTATTGAAATCTAATGTTGAAGCATTGAAATATTGTTCTGAAAGCTGAAGTAGTTGTAAAATTATAGATGTGAGCAAGCGAAGGCCTCAATCCTGCAATATGGGCAGACCCCTGAGCCCTTGTCATGGCTGGAACTCTGTACAGGTGAAAGGTTTTTCCCTCATGGATAATACTTCAGAATCTATTATTAACATTAATTGAATAAGACTGAAGTCTCCCCAAGTAGCAAACTGGCAGCTTTCATGAGTATTAAAAAAATATTCACCCCCCACTAACAATCCCCTCCCCCTTTACAAACAAAAAAAAACAACTTACTGTTCTTTTTGTACATCAAGATTTCAAAGGAGTTCATTTCATAGTTCTCAAACGTTTGCCGGACCTTATCAATCGTGTCTTTGTCTGTCAGCTCCCCATACATAAAACTGCAAACAAACCAAGGAATTCAAGTAAGATACTAGAAAGACATGTAAGGCCATTTGTTTACAGTGTGAAACAGGGCCCAGACAAAAACTGTCCCTGTTAAATTGTGTCCTATTTCACCTGCAAAGCATAATTGACAGATGCATCCTAAGGAAATTAAAGAGAAAAATGAAACAAACAGATATTTTTTCCTCAAGAGACAACACAACACATTATTTAACAGAAAATAAATCTGCAATCAAATACCTGCAGGTGCTGCTTTTTTGCATAACTTCTGCTCTGTGGTATCCTGACAGCTTGCAAAATCCATCATTGCTGTATACAATGGGCCAATCCACTATCTGGGCATTACCCAAGACAAAATTAGTATCTGTTTGAAAGAACACAGGAGGTTAGACAGTTAGATAGCTCTGTGACTGCTATCTATATTTATTTGTTTGGGGCCCAATACCACACACTTTACTCACATACCATTCCTACTGGAGTCAACAAGATTATTTGTGGATTGCATTCTCTTTACTGGCATAAAGCCTCAGTGATGGAACTTTGTGCAGGTAAAATAATATAGTTGAATCCCATCCTCAACCCAGGGCTATGGGATTACAACTCTGATGCTCTTCCCCTGCTGTCTCTCCCTCCCCATTCATCAATCCAGCCTCATCCACTGGATTAGTGGCCAAGACTTCTGTGCAACACCTGTGTGGCATGTACTCTGAATTTGGATTCAGTAGCCCTTCTGATTGCCTATACCATTTGCTGTTGTTGGTGCTGACCTATCTGGGACTGATGCAAACACCCTTTTCCATGGCAGAGAGAGCCCAGAGCCTCACTAGCAGATGGAACATGATCTTCAAGGGGAGGCCTTTTGCTGGGCATCCATGCCAGGGTGAATTTCACCCAGCACAAATATAGTGAGCAGAAATTCAAGCCTTACTAGATCTCTGGACACTGCTTTTGTATAACTGATGTATCATTTAAATAATTAGCAATTGACTGCTGTACATATGGCCAGATTCTCCACTGCCTTGGACATTGCACAGTCAGACATCTGCACGAAGTGAGATCAAAAACACTGCCCCGCTCATTCATGCAGAGAATAGTCTAAGTTGTTATAATTGTAGTACTGTACTGACTTCCTGCAAGTATCAGTGGTGACACAGGGGAAGAATTTAAGCACACAATTAAAAAGGGTTATCTGTAAATTCTCCATATTTGTATTTAAAGCACACTCTGGCCAATAAAGTATTTATGGCTGTCAATGATTCTCAAAAGTGAAAGACTAACATCAATTTAACTATGAATTGGAGGAGGGATTTTTTTCCTTTTCAAAATTCATAATGTGTTTAAATAAAAAGCCTTATTTATCTACCTACTTTTATTGCCCAAATCTACTTGCAATAGGAGAAATATCTTTATACACACTTGAGAGCAAAATAAGCTGGTAATATAGCAGCAGGACATTTTAACTGCTTTGTTTCTCACAACCATTTTAAATACCACGATTTTTCTTAGTCAAAGCAGCTTGTTCTACAAGCAATACATGTATTTCACCCCTTATGAATCACTGAAATAAGTTGTTTCTTCTCTTTGCCTGAATAAAGTACTTCTGAGGGGATTTTTTGGCTGTGAACACTGCACTGTATCTTCTCAGGATACATTTTTAAATCGATCAGGAAACATAAAAAGCAACTGTGAAATATGCAAATATGAAAGTTAGGTCATCTTTTGTCCCAGCATCAATGATTTTGATGACTTCGCCCATTCATTGTAGTTTAACTGTCAGCTTCCCTTCCAAAAAAGGGGCATTCTACTCCCAGCTCTGTGTAATTTACTCTAAAAGACAGAGCCGGGGTTCCCCCACACCTTACCCCAAAGTGGATGTTGACCCTGCTGCTTCAGAGCCAAATATTCATAGCAAGTTAACCAGGGCTATTTTTTCAGCAAAAACTGGATATGCTCTTAGGACTAACGCAAAAGGCAAAGCCTCGGAGTTCTAATATGGCAACTGAAATTCTGTTCTGCTAAATGAACTAAGAGCCTGATGCTGCTGGCCCTTAAATATAGTCCCTGACAAACTAGAAGTCTGCTTTACCACCAAACCCCTCACCCAAGGCACCATTACCCCAAATGGAAGCAGGTCATTTACACTGAAGAGCCCCCAAGCATTATTTTAGACAAAAAGGACTTGTTTGAAGTGGCCTGCCCTCACTTTTTCCACTCACTGGGCCTACTGCAGAGTTTTAACAACAGTCAGGTGTCTTCAGTAAGGTGCTGACCAGCTGGAAAAATGAGACCTACTGTATACTCCATTGGACACTCCCATTCCTATTGCTTTATTTGCTTCATCCTTTGCTGCTAGAGACAGTCAGACACATGCTTCACCCCCTTTACCTGCAAGAGTAGCATAGCCCGCATAGGCATCAGTGGGAACAATGCATGGGTCCCAAGAAGAAAACAGCTCCTGTGGTGGGTTCTCTTTGCGCTCGGTCTCCAATTTTGATTATAAAACTCAGTCCCATATTTGAACCTCCTGGAGATCTTTTAGAGATCTTTTAGAGTTTACACTCTTAGAGGCTCCATCTAATTTATGGGGTGGCTCTTCCCATGCATCTGAGCACATCACTGGACTCTAGAGAAGTTCTAGAACTAGAGACCTGAATTTCTCTCTCTGTTAGGTATTTCTATGCCAATTTTTGTCATATCTCAGTGCTTCCTAGTCACAATGCCTGTATTACACAGGAGGAGCTAAGAGACTTGCCCAAGGTCACTCAGAAAGTCAGTGATGCAACAGGTCTACCAAGTCCCGAGTCAGCATCAGAACCACGGGATAATCCTTCCTTTCCTTAGCCAGTTCTATTTCCCTACTCCATTAGTGTTCATGGGACAAGAAATCGCCTGTTGGTGAAGAGCCCACACAAAGCCTGAACACCACAGAAACCGCATTGTGGGGATATGGGCCATGCAAGGAGTACTTGGAGCCTCACATGCACCAGGAAGGTCAGCTGTGCACTGGCTATAGATGTGGGGGTGCAGAAGGAGAGCTGAAAGAAGATTGCTCACAGGGCTACTGGCTATTTGCCTCTGTGAAACCAGTGGCCAGAAAGGATGGTGCAGGCAGCAGCAGGGAAAGCTGCACCACAGTTCCTTCTCACTAGCTCGGGAGAAGGGTTCCATCCCACCAAAACCTGCTTCCTTCCCCATACACAGCCCATGGGCTGATGTATTTCATCCTCATAAGAGAGGGCAGAGTTTCACAGAAAAATATTACACGTCTCTGCTTTCTACTGTACAGCCCACCTCGCCCCATCTTTCTGATCAATAGCCCCCAGGCAGAAGACCTGAGTTCAGCTAACATCCCCAATGCTACAGTCACTGCTCAGTTGTACTGATTTGACTTTACATTTCCAAGAGGCTGCTGACAAGACACTGTTTTGAAACAGCTAGTAATCAGGTAAGCAGTCTCTCCTTCACATAAGAGGATATCATACATCATCTTTCCCTTCCTGCCTACAGGGGCACGTGTCTTGGAGGCAGTGGAACGGCTGTATGGCTGCCATATGACAGGAAGGAGAGACTCTGTGGTAGACCCATATGCACCACATTACAGCTTCTTAGGGACTTCCAAGAGGGCATGTGAGGTCTGGAAAAGAACAGGTAAGAGGAAGAATGTGATCAGACAAAAAAACAGGTCACGCCTCTTCATAGAAGGTGTGTAAAAATACTGACAGAGCTGTTGAAGCCCTGAGGCGACAGTAGTGGCCTAGGGGCAGCTCTTTGTGAGGCTTCCTTCCCCACCCCACAAGGAGATCACCAAAACTGGTTCCTTGAGCTGCCCCTGGAGATAAGATTTACCTCCATTATGTGGATTTTGACACCATTTCCAGACATGAATAGACAGCCAAGGACATGTATTACACCCAAAGTTCTAGCCCAAATTGATCACAATGTTTGTGAAATGGAGCTCTCAAATCCAAAGAAGTCAGGACCCCCATTCTTCAGTCTGGTTGAGGAGCACTCACTATGAGGCAGGACTTGACAGCAAAGATGCCCCCACACCCAGTCCTGAAGCTGGATGGGCAATGAGCCAATGCACAGCGTATTAGAGTGGCTCATTTCTGCCAGTTCCCCCCCAAGGAACCATTACTACAGCTGGACGAAGGGTTGCCAACCCACACCTATGCCAATGACCATCAGGGGAGGAATCTCTATGCCTCGGGTGGGGATGGCAAAGAATACTCCACTGACTACTTAAGTTGTGCTTAGGACTGTTCTGCACTGGGGTCTCGGAGAAGGGGTGTAAAACATATCGGTGAATAAAATCCAGATGTTACCACAATGTTAATTTGGCCACATAGCATACCTTACACATCACTCCAATGGCCGAGAGGGGCTGTGCAGCAGCAGCAGCTGGCTGAATGAGAATGCCCTGGCACAGCATAGGTTATAAGACCTGCTAACACTACCTCCAAAAGGATGGAGCCAGGAGCCCTATGGGGATTCTAGTTGGAGCTAGAAGTCATAGGCAGTCTGGAATATCCTAAATCCCAAATACGGTTACAGGCTGGGGACCGAATGGCTAAGTAGCAGTTGAGCGGAAAAGGACCTGGGGATTACAGTGGATGAGAAGCTGGATATGAATCAACAGTGTGCCTTTGTAGCCAAGAAGATTAATGACATATTAGGGTACATTAGGAGGAGCATTGCCAGCAGATCTAGAGAAGTGATCATTCCCCTTCATTTGGCGCTGGTCTGGTGAGGCCACATCTGAAGTACTGCATCCAGTTCTGGGGCCCCCACCACAGAAAGGATGTGGACTCATTGGAGAGGATCCAGTAGAGGGCAACCAAAATGATTAGGGAGCTGGAACACATGATCTACGAGGCGAGACTAAAGGATTTGGGCTTATTTAGTCTGAAAAGGAGAAGAGTGAGGGGGAATTTGATAGCAGCCTTCACCTTCATGGTGGTTCCAAAGAGGATGGAGAGAGGCTGTTCACTGTAGTGATGGATGGCAAAACAAGGAGCAATGGGCTCAAGTTACAGTGGGGGTGGGCAAGCTTGAATATTAGGAAAAACTATTTCCCTAGGAGGGTGGTGAAGCACTGGAATGGGTTACCTAGGGAGTTGGTGGAATCTCCATCCCTAGAGGTTTTTAAGTCTCAGCTTGACAAAGCCCTGGCTGGGATGATTTAGTTGGTGTTGGTCCTGCCTTGGGAAGGAGGCTGGACTCGATGACCTCCTGGGGTCTCTCCCAGCTCTATGATTCTACTTCAAAATACAGAATGCAACACACCATCTCACCCTTGTTACTATGACAATTGTCTATAGGTTTTCTGTAGAGGCTTAACACAGATGTTCAGTGCTAAAAGCA